ACAACTCATAAACACATCTTGGTTTCTCAATACCATTTTCCACTAAAAGAACCAGGACCCCTTGGTGAAACAACTGATTCTAGGATAAGGGTAAGAGAACCAAAGACTTTTTTTTCATATACATTTGAGGTACACAACAGGATATTTTGATACACATATACATAGTGAAGTGATTATTACAGTCAAGCAAATTAACAAATTTATCATCTCATGTAGTTTTCTGGTTTTTGTTTTGTTTTGTTTTGTTTTGTTTTGGTGTTAAGAGTACTCTCCTGGCAAAGTACCAGTATACAATACAATATTAACTACAGTTCTCATGTTATGCACTAGAATTTAACTGCAACTTTGTACCTTTTGACCTACATCTTCCCAGTTTCCCTACCCCCACCCCGGTAACCATCTTAGTACTCTGTTTCTATGGTGATTTTTTTTTTTTTTTTTAAAGATTCTACATACAACTGAGATTATTTGGTATTTTTCTTCCTGTGTGTGGCTTATTTCATTCAGCATGATGTCCTCCAGGTCCATTCATGCTGAACGCAACAAGATAAACATGGAACACCTTATGTGCCTGAAAGTAAAGAATTCCTCAAAAAATGATATGGATATGTCAGAAGGATAAAGGAGCCACCAGTAAAAGGCTCCCACTGGCTGTTCAACAGGCCCACACTCTCCACCAACTTCTCTGCCTCCTCAGTGGGTGGGCTGCATGTTCCTGTGGTGGGAACCACACCCTCCCCTCAGAGATCTGAACCTCTAATCTTGCAGTTGGGTAAGGGAGCATTTCCTTTAAGTAACTCCTTTGTTAACACTTCTTCAGCCCTAAAAGTAACGACTCCTTTTTGTAGCCACTACTTCTGTATAATAGAATCCTCTTTTAGTAACTGATCATCTTTTACTAGAAAACAATTCTTTAAATTTTTCCTGTTGAAATCACCAATATGGTATCTGTTTCCAAATGAACGCTGACTGATAGAAAAATGTATCACTTCTCTTGCATTTCTATCCAAAAAAATGTTTACTTAAATATAATCGTGAGGAAATTAAAGTGGCAGGAGGCAGACAAATGCCTAGGCAGATAAGGGCAGGTCTGCAGTGAAACCCCATCTCTAAGCTGAAGACAGTTTAAAGCCTGAAAGCCAAGCTACAAGTCAAATCCAAGGACTGGAATAAGAACCTCTCTTCCCAATTGGCACATTTTTCTCTGATTGATCCCCACCTTTCACCTATTTTACATATACCTACCCTTTCCTAATTGGTTTTCTATACTGTTGTGCCCACCTTTCAGTGGTGTCTTCGTTTTAACTTTTTTTTGCATACTCACAAACCAGTCAGCACAAACTTCTCATTCTGAACCCATGAAAGTCCAGACCCAGCCACACTGGGTAAGAAACCACCTGACTGCAGCGGTAGGGAACAACCTCTACCCAGGCATTCCTCTCCACTGAGAGCTGTTCCATCACTCAATAAAATTATTCTTCATCCTCATCCTTCAAATTGTCAGCATATCCTCATTCTTCTTGGATGCAAGACAAGAGTTCAGGAACCACCAAACACGCAGGTACAAACTAAACATAGGCAGTGGGCTGAGTGAGGCCTGGGGCAGGGGGGGTGTCACTAGCCACAAAGGGGTCCCCAGTTGGCAAAGTGACCAAGAAAAATCCTACATCAGAAAATATTAGACAAAACCAAAATGAAAGACATCCTACAAAACAAGTGGCCAGTACCTATCAAAATTTCAAAGTAAAGATCAATGACAATTAATTATAATGTGTGACTCTTGCTTGGTTCCTGTGATTGTTGGGAAATGGGAAGTAATTATACAGAGGATCTATTGAAACGTGATAAAATTTTGAATACAGACCATGGATCTGATAATAATCTTGTATTAGTATTGTAGTTCCTAATTTTGATAAGAAGATATCCTTGTTTCTAGGAAATGCACACTGACATATTTAGAATTGTAATGGGAAGTTTACTCTCAACCTGTTCAAAATTAACTAATGTATACGGAAAGGAAAGAGATGAATTTTTTAAGTAGAGTGTTTACCAGAGTTCTTTGTAGTATCCTTGCATCTTCTTTATAAATGATAAATTATATTAAAATTGAAAGTTATCAAAAACTAATTAAGTCCTTGAAATATGGTAAACATGATCATTTTGAAAAGCATCTGATCCAGGCCTAGTGGCTCATACCTGTAATCCCAGCACTTTGGGAGGCTGAGGCAAGCAGATTATTTGAGTTTAGAAGTTTGAAAGCAGGCTGGGCAAAAATGTGAGACCCTGTCTCTACAAAAAATACAAAAATTAGCTGGGCATGGTAGCTTGTGCCTGTGGCCCAGCTACTCAGGAATCTGAGGTTCTGGGTCTGTTAGTTACCTTCCTCTCTTAGGATTATACTGAACAGGAGGCCTCCTTCCCATTTGATTTCAGGATAACAATCCTAGAGCTGCTTTCTAAACAAAGTAAACAATTTACCTTGTGTGAGAGAAGGGAGTGTGGGTATAGGTTTATTGTGGGGACTGTGCTAGAAAATGAGGCTAGAAAAGAGGCAGGCCAGTAATGCAAATAACAACAACCAAACTGCTCATTTCGATTTCTGCCGCAGCAAGAACCTCGAACTCAGTTGTCAGAGACGAGAGTTTTAACACAGAGAGCACCCAGAAGGTGCACTGAGGTCTGAGAAGCAAGGAAGTGACCCAGGTTGTTTGCCTCTGGTTGGAAAGGGAAACCCACCCTACTTCGACTCTGACAGCAAACAAGTTAGTCAAGCTACTCAATTGCGTTTCTGGCCCATTCCCCATTTCCAACATAAAACACTTCCTCCTCTCTAGCCCAATGCTACTCTAGGCAGTGACCAAGAGGCAAGATTTCTGAAATCGAAACTTTAATTCACCAACAAACGAACATCAATTCTAGAATAGATTGTAACAGGGACTTTTGTCTTTCTTCTCCGTTGTATCCCCAAGACCTATATTATATATTATGTGGTTTTGGCACATAGTAATTGCTTGGTAAAGCTGTGTTGAATTACTTGATAAAAGCAAGTCAGTATAATTTAAATTTTCAACATTGGTGGCATTGGTTAACTAGCAATGCATAGAACTAAATATTATGTTATTAAAAAGTTTATTCGTAAAGTTAAGGAGATGGAAAAATATTTGATATAAACATATATTTTTGAGATAGTGCTCACTCTGTCACCCAGGCTGGAGGGCAGTGGCACAATCATAGCTCACTGCAGCCTCCAACTGCAGCAATCTTCCAGCCTCAGGCTCCCAAGCAGCTGGGACTACAGGTATGTGCCATCACGCCCGGCTAATTTTTTTAGAGAAGGGGTCTTACTACGTTACCCAGGCTAGTCTTGAATTCCTGGCCTCAAGTGATCCTCCTGCCTCGGAATCCCAAAGTGCCGGAATTATGGGCATAAGCCAGTGTGAGGCTGATACATGAAATTTTTGAAAAAAGGAAACAACATATATTCATTAAGGAAATACACACCCTCCTGGTGAGTTTACGTATGATTTTTGTTTTGTTGTTTTCTGTGTTATCTGATCACAAATTACTTTTAGTTTCAGAAAGAAAATAATCTTTCAATTTTATTTTTTGATTGAGGCAACATCCAACCTAGATATGATTACTACCCAGCCTGAACTGAATGTATTACTAATAAGCAAAGAAACACAGAATGGCTGAACTGAATGTATTACTAATAAGCAAAGAAACTCAGAATGGCAGGTACAGTGTAGTGCTCCATATTTAAATACTGGCTCCATAACTTAATAGCTGTGGGACCCACGGTTGTTACTCAGCTTCTATCTGCTTTAATTTACTCATCTGTAAATTTGGGATAAGATACTTCTCATAAGGTTGGTGTGAAGATCAAGTGAATTAATTATTGTTTAAAGCACTTATAAAAGTGCGGGGCACCGCTGAGGGATGCATCCGTTAGCTTTTATTATTATTAGACTCAAAACACTTTAGTAGCTCTAATAAGAGGTAAGAATCAAAATCCACTCATCCGTATACAGCCAGTGAGGCACACATAAAGGCAACGTTAAGAGAGGAAGTGGAATGAAAGCATGCTAAAGCTGGGTAGGTACAAGCCACAAGTGGGGATCCACAGTTAATTGTGAAGAGAGTGAATCCAAGAAGTTACAGGAACAATAATTTTTGAACAGTGTTTAAGAACGAGCAGGACTTCAACAAGTGGCTAATAAGACACAAGGAACCCACCAAGGATCTTAGCAAAGGCACAAAGACCACTATCGGGTTGCTCGTTTCTTCCTACCTTGCAAAAGAAACCTCTGGCGAACAGAGGTGGTTTCAGAGCATGCTTATCAAGCAAAATGTCACGAGGCAGTAAGGAACGACAGAGGTAACAGTAACAGTCATAATTCACCCCAAGGTACTCAACTGGGAAAAGGAAGTACACAGGAGAGGTGTCGTTAAGAAAATCAGGACATAAACCAGGCGCTGGGGCTCAGGGCTGTAATCCTAGCACTTTGGGAGCCTGAGGCGGGCGGACTGCCTGAGCTCAGGAGTTCGAGACCAGCCTGGACAACACAGTGAAACCCCGTCTCTACTAAAATAGAAAAAAATTAGCTGGGCATGGTGATGGACGCCTGTAGTCCCAGCTACTCCGGAGGCTGAAGCAGGAGAATTGCTTGAACCCCGAAGGCAGAGGTTGCAGTAAGCCGAGATTGCGCCACGGCACTCCAGTCCGTGCGACAGAGTGAGACTCCGTCTCAAAAAAAAAAAGAAAGAAAGAAAAACAAAGCCAGGACGCGCATGGCCCCGTCGCTGCACTACTCTAGTCTAGGGGCCAACAGTGGAGTAGAGACTCGAAGTTTGGACGCGGCAGAACAGCGTCCCTCTCAGGCGGCCAACGGTCTAGGGAGGCGTCCGGAGGGGACCTAGGGCAAGAACTACAACTCCCGCCGAGCCCGAGGGCAAGCTGTGCGTAACTTCCGCTTCCGTCGCCCCTCGCACCCTCCTCTCTCGGACCCTACCGAGGAGCAGTCCGGCGCGTGACCCTGCATGACCGGAACGCGCGAGCCGAGAGGCCCTGAAGCTGGAACTCTGGGACCCCCATTGGGAGAAAGACGAGCAGAAAAGGCGAAACTAGACAACCTCGATAGTGATTGGAACTAATTGAACGAGGGCGGAGCTAAACTCCCAGATCACTGGCCAATCAGAGTTTAAGATTATCAGGGAGACCGGGAAGGGGAAAGGGGCGAAATGGTTCTATGGTCACATGCTGCAGGGTCTGGTGGGAGGAGCGGTTGCCCAGCAGCCTCTTGGCGCTTCCTGTTTCCGGTTCCCAGAGTGGGGCACCTCGAGGCGCTAGGTGCGACGCTGGCCTCTGACACTAGCTCCGGGACCGGGGTCTGCGGCCGGCCTCTAGCAGGCCCCGTCTCCCATCCCCAGACTTATATTCACCGGGGATTCTGAGCTTTGGCTGTTCCAGTTTCCCGCGACACGTGAGTGTGAGGGGCGTGGAGAAGGAGGCGGGCTGGGGTGCGCTCACACCTCAGCGTCTATGACAGGAGCCGGGATTGCAAAGCCTCCCTTGACCATGGTTCTAGCCAAAAATCTGGCCGAGTAGCCCTAACAGGTAGAATGGAGGCGGAGGCGTGAGGGTTGAGAGTCACGGAGTTCCGAAAGGTTTGAGAGAGAAAGGACTTCCAAGACCAGAGAGGGGATTTACGATATTTGGAAAGCAGGGAAAGTAAGATTCCCCAAGTATAGAGTCCGTTGGAGGTGTTCGTGGATTTATTTATAGAAGGAATTTTAGCCTGCATCACGGTGGAAGGTCAAATGGCATCATTTGGAGAAGATAACGGCTCCAAACAGTTGGAAAGTCGGGACACTAGACGGAGCGATAATTTCTAGCACCCTGGGAGAGGTTTGAGGGGATGCGACTATGGTGTGGATAAGAATGGCTGATGGAGGGATTATCTTGTGTTCTCCGTTGTGGGGAGCTTCCTCTCTTGGGACATAGCCGCTACTTCTCAGAGGCTCCTTCTCTCTTGAGTTCTTTCAGCATTAGGCCTTTTAGTCAGTTGAGGCTGCTTTTCTAAAAGTATAGGCTGCTGGAGGAAAAGGGATAAAGGCTACATCAGAAAGGAGCCAGCGGGAAGACGGTAGCAATTGCACTGGAAAATGGCCATGGCTGTCTTAACAGATGGGGAAGTGAGTACTACAGAGGCCCAGTGATTTAAGCTGCTTCCCAATTGCTGGCTTTGGCATTGGCCACCCTATTAAAAGAGAATTTTTAGCATTAACAAGTAAAATAGATGTGTTGTTAGAGAATAAGAAAATTGAAAGAGATTTTTCAAGATCATAAAATCCTGCTTGTTTCCAAAGTATCTAGACAAACTCTTGTACCTTGAGGATCTAATTGTAGCATATTAAAAAGGGGCTACCCATCACTTGCATTTCATTATTTTCCTGATCGTTGCACCCATGTTTATAAGTTTTCCAGCAGATAACTTTATGCCACGAATCATCTAAATTGCCCCAGTGACTTCACACACATTTAATATCTCTGTAGTGTACAGCAAGTAATTTAACAAGTAATTCCGTAAAGCATCTGTTTTCTCGTCTTTGAAGTATGAAAAATTATACCTATTTTTCTGGTTCGTGAAGATTAATGAATATAATCTAGGTAAAACATTTAGCGCTTATGCCATTGAATCAAAGAGAAGCAGCTTAAATTTATAGCTAACCCTTAAGCAGGAAAGAAGAATAGAGTATAAATTTGTTATCGTCCTAACTTTCTAAATAATAAGCAAATGAAAGATAGTTCAACTCAGCTAATGAGATGTTTAACCTTTAATTCTTCGCTATTTTGTGAGATTCATTGTTCTAATTTAGGAAAAGAAATCATCAACTGTCAGTTTTTAATTAGATCCTGAGAGAATGTAAGGAAAATGGCAGGCTAGGTCAGTCTAGAAAAACGACTCTCCTATTTCTTTTTAGTGAATCAGCTGGTCAAGTTGTGTGTTGAGCAGTGGGTTAACCTAGGGAAGGTGGAGTTTGAGGTCTGAGTTCTTTATTTCACCTCATTCAGTCAACTGTGTGAGGAATCACTTCCCCTTCACTTCTTAGTCGGCGGGGGGAAGAACCCACAGTTTTGGCTGCCTACTGTCATCTCCAAAAACTTACTATTTTCAGAGTGGAAATATACATGTAGTGGTTAAACATAAATCATGAGTTCTGGAGCCAGACTCTCTGGCTCAGTCCACTAGCTGTGTCTCAGTTTTCTTATTGGTAGAATAGCAACAATAATTGTATTTACTCATAGAGTTGTTGTGAGAATTAATTAGTTAATTAATATATGTTAAGTGCTGGGAACAGCACCTGGCCCAAGGCAGTAGTCTGTTGTTTCCTGATGTGGTTTCAGTGCTTTAAATGCATTATGAGGGCCTTGGACCTCTTGGCTGGATATGATTATTATGTGGAAAATACCATAATATTATAGTAGAGAATTGATGTTTGGAGTACAGGAAGTCATGTAGACAATTTCCCAGCGTTTGTTGCCCTAGTGAGTGTGAGAAATAGAAGGTCAGATGTTAGTTTGTTTAGGGGAATGGGGCAAGTGCATTCAGGGTCAGGGTTGGAGCTTCCATTTTCCCATTTTAAACTCACTAATAATCATGAAAATTCTGCCTATTTCAAGTTTTATGTTTTAATAAATGCAATGGAGTCAGTGGAGCAGCATGAGAAAGAACCAGAGGACTTTAAAAGAGTATTCAAACCAGGCCAGGCATGGTGGCTCACACCTGTAATTCCAGCACTTTGGGAGACCAATGTGGGCAGATCACGAGGTCAGGAGTTCAAGACCAGCCTGGCCAATATGGTGAAACTGCATCACTACTAAAAATATAAAATATTAATTTATTAACAAAATATTAATTAAAACATAAATTAATATAAAATATAAATTAGCCTGGTGTGGTGGCATGCACCTGTAGTCCCAGCTACTCGGGTGGGGGGGGGGGGGGCTGAGGCAGGAGAATTACTTAAACCCAGGAGGCGGATATTGCAGTGAGCCGAGATCACACCACAACACTCCAGCCTGGGCGACAGAGGAAGACTCTTTCAAAAAAAAGAGAGTATTCAAACCAAACTCCAGACTTGCAGCATTTTATTGTAAGTGAGAAGTTTAGAAGAGTTAAATCAGGAAATTTTTTGTGATACTGTTGGAATAAACAAATAGCAATGGCCTGACAGATCATTAACAGATACCAGAGTGAACTGTTTTGCAAGGGTAAATCAGTCCGGGTATGAAAGTGGTAAGAGAAAAGAAAACATTAGGGGTTTTTTGTTTTGTTTTATTGCCAAAACCACAAAAACCTTTGCACCAACGTAGTAAGTTTGGGGTAGAGAGCTGTGTGTTTTTATTCCTAGAGCAGTATAAGCAGCAGGTGAATTGAATTTACAAAATTGTAAAGTGGCTTGGTGATTCCTACTTTGTTGTCATTGATTTGCAGTATAGAAAGACAACTGTACTTATTGGAAGTCTAGAAACCCTTGAGATGTGTGACCTGTAAAGGCCCAAGAGGTTTCAGAAGACTTCATCAAGCCATCAAACAGTAAAGTGGCAAAGATGGCCCCATCCACGCTGTCATTCTTCTTTTTTGTTCTTTCCTCATTACGCTCATTTCAACCTTGAAAGACTCACCTATACATTCGACTAAAAGTTACATATAAATGAGTTTTCTGCTGCAGGTGCTCTTGTTACAGAGATATTAAAATGTACTGTGTTGCATATGCCAGAGAATCTTGTACTTTCTGCATAATCAGAATGCCATCCATTTATTAACATTCATATGCTTCATCTGTTTCCCCTCTCCTGATCCTACCCGCCCTCCCCAACACACACTCTCTCCCAAAAGGATGTTCCCTTTCTACAGCTCCTGGAGGACTAGACTGCTACTGCTGCTACTCCTGGCTGTGGCAGTGAGAGAATCCTGGCAGACAGAAGAAAAAACTTGTGACTTGGTAGGAGAAAAGGGTAAAGAATCAGAGAAAGAGTTGGCTCTAGTGAAGAGGTTGAAACCACTGTTTAATAAAAGGTAAATGAGAAGAACCTTAAAGAGCTTGAGAAAATATTAAAGTGTCTTCCTCTTACTGATTTTATTTCATAACGTGCTCTTTTTTATAATATAGAGCAAATTCACAGCCCAGTTTTTAGTTGCCATGTGCAGTTTTCTCATCTTTCACAGAAGAGTAGCTGCTTCCAAGACTGGATCCAAGAGACCAGCTTGTAGAAATTTAAGCATTATTTGGTATCTACATATAGGACTTTAGAAACAGCAGATAAACATATTTAGGTCTATACATGTCATTATAAGTGTGAGGAATCTTCAGATACATAAATCTGAAGTTGCTCCCTAAGAAATGAGAGTGTCCCATGAACATGGACCTTTATTCATGGGGACATGGTTACTAACAGGCATTCTAAAAATAATTAGAATATCGAGCTGTCTTGGGTGGTGTATTTTAATAATTCATCATCAGCAATAATCTGTCAAGCTTATGAATATCTTACAATTAAACAAATATTCACTCAGCCATGACCTCAGATAAGTAAATCAAGCACATTCTTCTATTTTATTTTAATTAAAGGAAAGGGATGCTGTTATTCCTGAGGCTGATAGCTAGTAACTGTCCTCTTCTTTCTTCCCACTTTTCTTTACAGCTTTGAGAGCACTGTGGGCCAGGGCTCAGAAACATACATCTACATATTTAGGGTGTGCCGAGAAGCTGGCAACCATACTTCTGGGGCAGGCCTCGTGCAAATCAACAAAAGTAATGGGAAGGAGACAGTGGTAGGGAGACTCAACGAGACTCACATCTTCAATGGAAGTAAGAAAAGTCCCCTTCCTACCATTGATTGACTAATTGATGCCAAGTCAATCTCTCTGACAATCCTATATGTCTTGGCCCTTTCCAGGCTCTTCAATATATCACGTGTGGTTCGGCACACCTGAGACTATAAAATGCCACAGGATGCCTAATTCCACAGCTCCTCTGTAGCCACAGCTCAGGACATTTGTGCATTAAAGTGAAAATTTTATGCAAAAAGAAGACTCCAGCCAGAATTCTGTAGCCTGGAGTCCTTTTATTCACCCAAATACTTTTAATGAGTTTCACACTAGACTTAAAAATATCAGCCACCACCATTTTTCATCAAATTAATCAAAGTTTACCAGTTAAATTTTAAGAGGTCAAACTATTTTCGCAAACTAGTCAGTCTACAAAACTTTACCCACTGACTTTTGTGCTATGGTGGTGATATTTCTTAAAAGTCATACTGCTGGAGGGGACTATGTAAGCACCTATGGTCCAATTCCCTCCCATACAGATAAATAACTAAATTATACAGGGTAGCTATTTACTCCTGATAAAATAATACAATTAAAAAATAACAGAAGGGTTTGGGGGTCATGTGACCAGGTTCTCCTATTTCCTAATCCTGTGACTAAAAAGTCATATCACCTTTTGACCTTTTCTCATAGGCAAAACTAGGAGCGGAATCTTCACTTTATTCTCCTCACAATTATTGAATCAAATGATATTTTGCAAAAGAACTTTGAACACAGTAAATGCTAAAGGGAAATGCATTCCAATCTTAAATATTAACCATTTTGAATTTATCTGGGGCTAAGTTGAAATCTTAGATGGGCTTACCTCTGGTGCTCAGCAATTGTATGAAACCTCTTTTTTTGCTTTTAGCAGGTATTCAGAAAATGAATCAGTGTTAAGGTATAGATCATAATGGTTTTGCATTGTCAGTTGCCTACCTTTAGTGTTAAAAATTAAGATTATTCTTAAATGAGTATCTGATTCTTGGTTGTCTTAAGGGAACACAAGGCTTTGTAAGGAAATAAGTTGTAGCTTGGCATTTCTGGTATACCGAATTTGTACTGATGAGGGTTGTTTTACTTATAACCAATTGCAATGAATTACTCAATACCACTCTGCCATACCACCCAGATCTGCCTCTGCTTTTCCGCGACCCCATAGCTCCATTTTCCTTGTCCCTCCTCAGGTAATTGGATCATGCTGATCTATAAAGGGGGTGATGAATATGACAACCACTGTGGCAAGGAGCAGCGTCGTGCAGTGGTGATGATCTCCTGCAATCGACACACCCTAGCGGTGAGGCACCCTGGGTTGTATAAGCCTAGGGAGGAGATTGAAAGGAATGACCTGAGGTGGGGGAGAATATCCAGAGGGGACACTATACATTGGGTTGGACATGAGAAAACTAGGAGCTCAGTTTCTGGGTCAGACAAGCATCTTCCATGGAAAATAGGCTGCTGAACCAGGAAGGAGCAGATGTGTTTTTGGGATTTTTATTTTGTTGAATAGGAGTCAAAATATTTTACCACCTAAATGTCGTGTTATGCCATTTCATCATCAGGACAATTTTAACCCTGTGTCTGAGGAGCGAGGCAAAGTCCAAGATTGTTTCTACCTCTTTGAGATGGATAGCAGCCTGGCCTGTTCCCCAGAGATCTCCCACCTCAGCGTGGGTTCTATCTTACTTGTCACGTGAGTATGCCTTCCTTTATCAGAAGAGACCTTCTTTTTGTTTTTAAGGTTAGTAATTATATGGTGATAAATGAGCACAACTTGCATGTTATACTATAATTGACGGGGATGACTTTTTCTTTTGTCTGAGACGGAGTTTCACTGTTGTTACCCAGACTGGAGTGCAATGGCACGATCTCGGCTAACCGCAACCTCCGCCTTCTGGGTTCAAGCAATTCTCCTGCCTCAGCCTCCCGAGTAGCTGGGACTACAGGCGTGCGCCACCATGCCCAGCTAATTTTTGTATTTTTAGTAGAGACGGGGGTTTCACCTTGTTGACCAGGATGGTCTCGATCTCTTGACCTCGTGATCCGCCTGCCTCGGCCTCCTAAAGTGCTGGGATTATAGGCGTGAGCCACCGCACCCAGCTGACCGGGATGACTTTTTAAATCCTCTGGCTATAAAATAATTCTGCCAGGGCACAGTGGCTCATGCCTGTAATCCCAGCACTTTGGGAAGCCAAGGCGGGCAGACCACCTTAGGTCATAAGTTCAAGACCAGCCTAATGTGGTGAAACCCCATCTCTACTAAAAATACAGTATTAGCCAGGCACAGTGGCACATGTCTGTAATCCCAGATACTTGGGAGGCTGAGGCAGTAGAATCACTTGAACCTAGGAGGTAGAGGTTGCAGTGAGCTGAGGTTATGCCTTTGCACTCCAGCCTGGGCAACAAGAGCAAAACTCCATCTCAAAAAAAAAATTCTGACTAGGCAAGTTTCTTAAAAATGAGATTTAATGTTTAGTTTCCAGTATAGATTTGCATTTGGAGGTGCTTTTTTCCCCTACTGGAGGACTGGGCAATTTTTATTTTCTTTTATTTATTTATTTATTTTTAGTAGTTATTAGTTATTTATATGTGCTCTTAGTTATTCACAGGTGATCCTAATTCCTTTATTAATGCCTCTTGGGTTGGAAGTGGGACTAGGCAATTTTTAATATTATTTCATTAGATTAGAACTTTTAGAGAAATGTAATCATACACTTCAGGTGATTATTCTTGGCCATAGTCACACACTCACATTTTGTCTGGGCCTTTGCTTCCCTTGGACTAACGGCACTCTAATTGATTTTCTAAAAGTTACCAGCCTCCATTTTCATTTAATATCACTCCTTATTTTTCCTTTTCAGGGAATGTAGTTTAGGAAACAGCTAACAATAAACATAGATGTTAATTTGAGTTTTACTGTTACTCAGTTCTTAAGTATAGATGTCTCTTTCTATACAGGTTTGCATCACTGGTTGCTGTTTATGTTGTTGGGGGGTTCCTATACCAGCGACTGGTTGTGGGAGCCAAAGGAATGGAGCAGTTTCCCCACTTAGCCTTCTGGCAGGATCTTGGCAACCTGGTAGCAGTAAGTAACAGGGCAGCTGGTTGAATTGGCAGCCTGCAAGCAAGGTTGGGTGACCAACCATCCTGGTTTGCTCACACTGAGGGGGTTCCTGGGACACAGGACTTTGAGTGCTAAAACCACAAAAGTCCCAGCCAATAAGACAGTCAGTTGCTCTAGTACAAAGTAATAAGTAGCATAGCCTCTGTTTCTGGCCTTAAGACATTGCTGAAAGAGCAACACAATGACCAGGTGGGCTCTTCTAAATCTGATTTAGCTTTTAAGTGGGCCTGGGTAGGAAGAAGGTGAGGCCTAATTAGAAGAAACTTTTTCTCCTGATGCCCCAAATTGAATTTAGGCCAATCATCAGATCTTTTAGGTTTTCTCATTATCCCTGTAGAAAACCAATCAATTCTTGCCACATTTCTAGACCTTATGTGCACTTTCTCACACTCTTAAGTTGGATGCTCCAAATTATTCTTCTTTTTTCCCTACAGGATGGCTGTGACTTTGTCTGCCGTTCTAAACCTCGAAATGTGCCTGCAGCATATCGTGGTGTGGGGGATGACCAGCTGGGGGAGGAGTCAGAAGAAAGGGATGACCATTTATTACCAATGTAGATTGCACTTTTTATGACCAGCCTCTTCCTTGGTCCCCCAAACCAAAGCTACATAGCCAGATTTCTCAAGCAGTCTCAACTCCAGTCTCTCATCTCACCCTTACTACTGCTCTTGCTTTCCAGTTTGCTTTTAATTTGCATCTTCTCACTAGTAGAACTGCCTTCTCTTTGTTCTCAATTTTCTGTTTTTTCTCTAGAGAGGTACAGTTGTGAGAGTTAATATAACAGGGCCTGTGAAAACAAAGGCTTTTGCACTCAGAAGGTACAATAGGCATATCAGCAGATTGATGTGACAGGCTCACTGGCCCTTGGTTTTTTAAACACATTTTCACAAGTTTTTGAGACACTGGATTTCTTTAATTAAAAAAAAAAAAAAAAAAACACCAGAAACATTATTTATACAGGTTTGATTGCTTTCATGTTGTTACTCTGTACCCTATAGTAGTCTCCATGAGAATCTGGTATTTCTTGCTGCTTGGAACTACTTTGCAGTGATTACTTGGTTACAGTCCAAGTACTTTCGTTTAGTCTGAGCCTGGAGATGTTCTAGACTTGCTTCTCCCACCTCTGGGATTAGGACAGGAAAAATGTGAAATTTCCCTATTACAGGATCATAAGGTACCATCACATCATTTGTGGAAATTGGGGTGACTTTATAGCTGGGACTGGGCCATGGATTGTGGTCTTATCTGTCCATATATAGCCTCTCCAGAAATCCAGTCCATTGGAAAGGAAAATTGGAACTCCTGTGCCACAGGTGTTCCAGAAAAGTGAAGTCCGTTTACCTTGTGGTGGTGGGATCCTGATGGCTTTCTTCTCCCGTTTGTAGTAAAAGCTGGTAACGCTTTTCTTACTCCTGTTTCCCTATGCCAGTATTTCTAAACATATGTCGCACTTTCTTCACAGGCATGTGGTTTTGACCTTTTTTTCAATCTTCTGGAAAGGGAATGGAAGCAGAAGTGGGACATCGAGGGCTCTGCTGTCCTCTGCACTGGGTGTGGAATGCTGCTGCACCTGTCCCTTCTGCTGGCTCAGGGAAGTGTCTTCTTGCCCACATTTCTGTGGGGAAAGGTTTTTAATCCTCTGATGCTTCCATCTTCCTGTTTAGGCCATGTGCCCAGAAACCTGGACTGATCTTTCTGTAATAGTGAACCCCTGGGCCACGGAAGAGTAACATGGCTCCACTGGACACAAAAGAGGAATGGAATCAATAGGCAGGGGGCCTTTTACAAGCCTTAGGAAAAGAAAATGGTATCTTTGGACTTTTCAATACTATTGGAGTGATTTCTTTTCTTTCTAAACGGGAAATAATGTTATAAAAGCATCTTTTTTGTTACTTGTTAGCATCCCTCCCCAACACCCTGGTGTTTTAAAATGAAAAAAAATATATATCACTTTTTGTACAAAAACTCTTAATGATTAAAAAAACAAAACACATTGGCCTAGTCATTTGTGTGAAAGTGGGCAGAGACTGGAATAGAGGAAGACAACTGAGACCAATTTTCATCCTTTTACTGAGGAAGAAAAAATATTTTTGTTGTATAAGGAATAGCGCCTAAGGCAGGTACTTATACTCCTGATCTCAGCCCCACACACTCTGGTTTTATAAAGCTATAGGACAGAGCAGAGTTGGAACTGAAAAGTAGGGTACAAAATAACACTTAAGTTGGAGGAGAATGGTGGGATGCAGAAAGAATGACAACAGCCACGTGTGTCCCAGTCAAATACTTTCAGTCCCTGCAGTATAAGAAAGATGCCAACCAAGTCTCTACACTGGCTGGAGATCCTGCCATGGATACAGGACAAAATCTTCAATCATAAGGAAGTAAGTGACAGCAAAGAGAAAGCTCTGAGCCACAGCTACACTGGGACAAACCAGAGGAAAGTGGGGGAGTACCAGATTTTCCTACTTGTGTCACACAAGCTAGAAAACCCCACCTCTCCCATTGGGGAGGCAACCTGTATTCCACCCATTTCCTTGCCTTACCATACTATGTAATCCTCCTCTTGGAGAATGGAGACCTGGGCTAAATGCGCCACTCCAGGATAAGGCCGAGCAGTCCTAGTTCTCTAGACTGCCTCTCATAAAGATTGGATTAAGGTGTAGAATGGTGAGAAATGTAAAATAAAATAGAACCCAGAGAAAATGTCAAAGCTGCCGCCATGTAGCACCAGCAACCAATTCTTGCACTTTTCTTCCCTGTCTCAATAATCCCCTACGAAAGGTTACATGATTGGAACAGCTCTTATCTTCCCTGCAAAGTCTGCTGGTACCAGGTTATAACCTGGACAGTGGGGAGTGTCTGCCTTAGGCTGGTTTGTGCAAGAGGGCCACCTTAGGTCTCCTTGAGGACATTTATCTTGGCGCAGATCTTGAGGGCAGGACCCAGCTTGATGTTCATGGCACTCATAAGATGTTCTTCCTTAAGTAATAAAAGGGCCTGTCCATCAATCTCCTGGGAACGAAATTCCTCTGCAATCTCTTGGCAGCCTAGAAGAAATGGTGAGAACATGTAGGTAGCACCAGATGATAGGCGGAGGGAAACTAAGTGAAACAGGTCTAGTAATGATTAGTTCCAAAGTACTTGTCCTAAATTCAGTAATAGGAAGATGGCAAGCTTTAAAATTTAAAAGCAAAATGAAATCAGAAAGCAACTGGCTATTTTTAAAAATGGCCAGATGCAGAGGCTCACATCTATAATCCCGGCACTTTGGGAGACCAGGATGGGCAGATTACTTGAGAATCCAGGAGTTCAAGACCATCCTGGAAAACATGGCAAAACCTTGACTCTACAAAACATACAAAAATTAGCTGGGCACGGTGATGCATGCCTACGGTTCCAGCTATTTGGGAAGCTGAGGCAGGAGGATCATTTTGAGCCCAGGATGCAGAAGTTGCAATGTGCCAAAATTCATGCCACATTACTCCAGCCTAGGCAACAGAGTGAGATTGTCTCAAAACAACAAAAACCTAGGTCCAGGATCAAGGAAGGAAAAGCAACTAAATTGTTTAAACATAGAAATAACTTCAAATAGCTTGGAGACAGGGGAAAGAGAGGACAAAAATAAAAACATATTTTCTTTTGTACTGGCAAAAAGATTCTTTGTGATATTTTTGTTTAAGGTCCCAGAATTCAGACAAATATCAAGAAGGGTAGGGTGATTTTCTTTTCTGGAGAAAACTCTGTCAAGAATAGCATATAGGCTGAGTGCAGTGGCTCATGCCTATAATCCCAGCACTTTGGGAGGCCAAGGCAAGAGGTCTCTTGAGCCCAGGACTTCAAAACTAGCCTGGGTAACACAGGGAGACCCTGTCTCTGTTTTTTAAAAGAATAGCAAACAAGCCCTCTTTGAAGAGTGGGGCAACAATGGCCACTTAGTTTCTAATACCCTGCTCCACTGAAAAATTTTCTCCATGGGAGGTATCATAGTTAATTATACATAAAAGATATTTTATCCAAAAATTTAGTGAGAAATGCAGCTACATCATAAGATAGAGGAATCAAACACTGTAAAACTGCTGACACTATAGAAGATAATGTCAACCCAGAAAAAAATTAGTAAGTCAAGTTGAATAAATTATTAGGAATAGAGCCTCTATATTAGCATTCAAACTCCTACTTCTTAAAAGTCAATTACTTTCCCTCTTATCAAGGCTCCTGTGGGATGACATAGAAAACAATCTTGGTTCTGCTGAGAGGGTCGGTACCTTGGAGAGAAGCAATAAACTCATACACCTCTTCTACACTCCAACGGCTGGGATTACTAGACAGGAACACAGGGTTGATGCCATGTAATTCCGGTGTAGGTGGAGCTGTATTGGGGTTCCCCAGGTCACGTTCTCCATGCCCAGCCCTTACTGATAAAGGCCCAGGAGATGTTGGAGAGAGTGCTTCATCATAACTGGAATTATCTGAACCCCGGCTAGAGTCCTCTTGACCCTACAGGGAAAATAGCAGACCAGTGAGGTCAGGAACAACAGTGTCATAAGTTGGTTTCTCTCTCTTCGCTAACCACCCTGGGTTGGGCGTAGAGGAAAAACTATGTGAAACAAGCAGCACTTTATTTGCAAATGCCCAAAATCTACTCTCAAGTGTCTCTCAAATAGAAATCACATCCTTGATTCTCCCCATGACCTACTATGGATCTAGATTTTCTCTACTCGAGTACAGTATAAGGATTAATGGATACATGAACCAGTAGTTAGGTAAGAGGAGACAAAGGGGGTCAGAATCTCTTGGAATTTGGAGTAATGCAACCAATGTGAAACCAGAGTTCTCATCTCACACCCTCTTACCTGGGCAAACATACTGCCCTGTAGGGAAAGAAAAGACCCAGTTTAAAGGCATCTGGCTCTGCAACAAGCAGCTCACCCGGTGGCACTTGCCCTGAATCTTGGCACGGGCAATGTCAGAGGAGCTGCGGCGGGGCCCACGCCTGCGAACTCGGGCATAGTTGGCTTCTTGAAACTCTTTCATTTTTTTCCTCTTCAGCCGGAACTGATGGCTACAGCTCACATTGTACCTACAGGACAGGGCATATATAGGATGTCAATGGTGCTACAGAAGTTAGGTAAATGTGACTCTAAATGTGAGTTGCTGTTTATGAGCTGATTTGGGGAAGGGAATAAAAGCAAGGAGGGAGACATGAAATATCAGCTATGAGGTGATCCTGGGGAAGGGGTGTAACATTAGATGGAGATATCAGTGCTGAGGGCAAGGAGGGTGCCCAAAGTACCTCTTAGCGCAAGTCATGGAGCAGAACCTCTTAGAGCCACGAAATTGCTCTGCAGGGGCGTACTTCCCACAGTACTCGCACTTCAGGAGATTCGCCTTCTTATCTAACTCTAAAAAACAAGGCATGCTGGACAGTCAACATAGGTTTCTGCTGCCCCTCTGGAAATCATTAGGCTCAGAGCTGGATTCTAAAATTAGTCTCAGGGTTTATTCCAAAAAACCTAAACAACCTACGTTGAGAATCCCTAAAACACAGAGTTCAAAATCTAAAAACCATGAAGACTTATCCCTTGAGAACTTTATGAAGTCTTCCTAACCTTAAGACAAACTTTACATTTTAGATGTCTTACTAATTTTATCCTAATTCGTAGTCTCAGATTTCAGATATGATTCCATTTCTGAATAGGAGAGAGGAACTAATTATTAATACCTAGAAAGATATAAGATCCTTCTACCACAAAGATTTCCAAAAGCAAAGGGAAAATGTAAATAAGAGTCCTTAAGATAGATTAGAAAATCCTGAATTAGGAGAACTGGAGTTTAAGGATATAAATGTTCTATTTTAGATCATCTTTTGAAAAAAAAAATTTTTTTTGAGACAGGGTCTCACTCAGGGTCACCCAGGCTGAAGTGCTGTGGCACTATCTTGGCTCACTGCAACCTCCACCTCCCGGGCTCAAGCGATCCTCCCACCTTGGCCTCCCAAGTAGCTGGGACTACAGGCATGCACCACACTACCCAGAGCTAATTTTTATATTTTTTTGTAGAGACGAGGTTTTGCTATGTTGCTCAGGCTGCTCTCAAACTCCTGAGCTCAAGCAGTCCTCCCAAAGTAATAGGATTATAGGTGAGAGTCATCACATGTGGTCAAAAAACACATCTTTAAAGAATAATTCCAAAGGTTACTTTAGCTGGATAAAATTCCCCGTATCTTATATAACCCCTTTTCTGTGATTCTACATACTCTGATATATAATATGGTTTCTATGTGTAGATGGACTTCACTTTATTCTTTTTTTTTTTGAGACAGAGTCTTGCTCTGTCACCAAGACTGGTGTGCAGCGGCACGATCTCAGCTAACTGCAACCTCTGCCTCCCAGGTTCAAGTGATTCTCTTGCCTCAGCCTCCTAAGTAGCTGGGACTACAGGTACATGCCACCACACCAGGCTTATTTTTATGTTTCAGTAGAAATGGGGTTTTACCATGTTGGCCAGGCTGGTCTTGAACTCCTGACCTCAGGCGATCCACCCACCTCAGCCTCCCAAAGTGATGGGATTACAGGCATGAGCCACCGTGTCCGGCCTTATATCTACTTTAAATAAATAGGTAACTACTATTTTATACTAAGTCCTCAAACACATCTCCATGAGCCTCCTTCCCCAAATGGGTCTCTAAATAATTACTCACCGGCAGATGGGCTGTCCACTCCCAAAGAGCCACCTGACTGATTCTCAGTCAGCCCTGTCGGAAGGCCAGTCTGCAGTGGCTTTTCAGACTCCTTTAGTAACTGAGAACAACCCACCTGTCCCAGAAAATGTTAAGAGTTAAATTAGCCTGATTCCTTTCTGCCTCTCCATAGCTTTCCTCAGCATTTCCTAATCAATATTATTTCTTTACTTGGATCTCTGAGTTAATGACCAAGTCTGGTTCAGAGAGAATCACTTTTAATATGGTAATCAAGGGTAGCAACTGGTCTCTAC